AAAGCATATTATATGCTTTCTCTCTCTTTATTTTCTTTGTTTCTTCTTTCTCGTGTTTTCTCCCATTGGTTCTAATTCCTCTTTACAACATGACTAACATGAAAATAGGTTTAATTTAAATGTATATGTTGAGCTTATATCAATTTACACGCAGTCGTGGGGTGAGGGGAGGGGAGAGATGGGGAGAAAATCTGGAACTCAAAATCTTATGGAAGTGAAGGCTGAAAACTAAAAATAAATAAATTTACTAAAAAAAAAATAAAATCAAGAAAAAAAATGACTTTCCCAAGTATTTTATCCATTCCTAGAAACCTGCCAAGTTTTGTAAATTCTTTCAGCACAGTAACCTCCAAAACTTTTTTCAATCTCATACCCTTATATGAAAAAATAAATTGAGTATGCACCCTATCTGTATATTTATTTATAAGCTATATATATGGATTATGACACTTATATACATTATAAGACATAGACAAAATGAACATTTTAATGAAATGAATCGTATTTTAAATGAATATATTTTGTTTATTAATGGTAAATAAGAATTTTTACATTCACTGAGAACAATGTGATTGAATTTGTGAGATGATCTCTTGAGACCCCAAACCTTCTAATTCTAAAACCCTATAATGTTAGGTTACACAGATAATTTCTAGTAGACCATGGACTAGAAACTATATCTCCTCTTGACAGTCCAAGTCTCTTTTTTGTCCTAAAATTTTGCAAATATTATGCAAGCTATATTCATATGCTTCAATGTCTTTTTCTATCATAAACTCTTTCTGGGGAGAGACCATGTCTCATTATTCTCTGTTTTCTCTTTTCTCCTAAGTATAAAGGCAAAGTAATAAAAATGTGTGTCAAATGAATGAATGCACAGAATTTAATCAAGAAATAAGTAGTATTTTTTTTTGGAGAGGGGGAGAGAAATGAAAGGAGATAGATATTACTAGCTAGATAAATACAACAGGTATAACTATTGATATAATTAATTTCAACTTCATAACTTCTGGGGGAAGCTAGGTTGTACAATGGATAGTGTACTTCCTGAGTTCAAATCCAGCTTCAGACACTTATGTGACTCTGGTTAAGTCACTTAATCTTGTCTGACTCAGTTCCTCATTTATAAAATGAGCTGGAGAAGGAAATGGCAAACCACTCCAATATCTTTGCCAGGAAAACCCCAAAAGAGGTCATGAATAGTTGAACGTGACTAAAATGACTGAACAATAAACTTCTGGAATTAAGGTAAGCCTTTTCCCAAGCTTTTGATAAGATAAATACAAAGCACTGTTTACAGACAAAAACAATCATTAATAACCCAATCATGGGAAGGCAGCTGGGTGGCACAGGGGACAGAGCACCAGACCTGGAGTCAGGGAGGACCCAAGTTCAAATCTGGCCTCAGACACATAATACTTACTAGATGTGTGACTCTGGGCAAGTCATTTAACCCCAACCACCTTGCAAAATTTAAAAAAAAAATTTTTTTTTTTTTAAATTAGGGGCAGCTAGGTAACGCAGTGGATAGAGCACTGGCCTTGGAGTCAGGAGGACCTGAGTTCAAATTCAACCTCAGACACATAACATTCACTATCTGTGTGACTCTGGGCAATTCACTTAACCCCAATTGCCTTACTAAAAAAAAAAACAAAACTCTTAAGTTCCATGATGTGAGATGTTTTTTTTTTTTTTTTGCAAGGCAATTGGGTTAAGTGACTTGCCCAGGGTCACACAGCTACTAAGTGTCAAGTGTCTGGTCTGAGACCAGATTTGAACTCAAGTCCTCCTGACTCCAGGGCTGGTGCTCTATCTACTGCGCCACCTAGCTGGCCCAATAATGTGTTGTGTGTAGACTATGTATTCCCCTTATCATCTAGCAAAAGGCCTTGCGCACAAAAGGTACTTAATAAATGTTTACTGAATTGAATGGCTGCTATGTCAAAGTAATAATAACCCTGGGAGATAATATTCCCATTTTACAGAAGAGGAAACTGAGGCAAAAAGAGTTAAGTTACTTGCGCTAGGTCACACAGTAGTAACTGTTGCAAGCTGGATTCAAACTTAGGTCTTCCTGTCTCCAAGCCTTGTGCTCTATCAAGGTACACTACTGAGCTGCCCCACAAAGCTGCTCCATATTTAGGAGTTTCTATATTACACTGGATTTATGTCATTGATATAGGCATTCCCTCCACTGGCAGAATTCTTCCTACCTTCAGTATTAATGAAAGTCATCCGTGCCTCGTCATGTTTTGTGTGATTCTTGTCCAAATTCTCTCATAGAAGATATACCGAATGTGTTAAGGGGCCTTCCTCTAAGTCTCCTTGCACTTTGAGCGTACCAGTGCACCATTTTGGTTATTACCATCTGTTATTCCTAGCTTTCACCACACGACCAACTCACAGCTTTTCTGATCATACATTTCCATGATAACTTATCTCTTATGCCACTCACTATATAAAGGTATTAACTGGAAATAAACTATAGCCTACTTTGTTCCCATCATGTACCTCTTCATTTCCCAGCAGATCAGCTGAATAAAAGAAGGAAATAAGTAGGTTGCCTGGTATAGTAGAGAGTTTGCTGGGCTTAGAGTCTGGAAGACTTAGGTTCAAATCCCATGTCTGACACTTGGTAGCTATGTGACTCTAGGCAGGTCAACTTAATTCCTATGTGCTTATGGAAAGCAGTAAGAAATTATGCAAATAAAGTGACTAAAATACTCTCTGACCCAGAGATTCCACTTCTAGGCAAAACCTTCAAGGAGAAAAAAAGAATTCATATACACCAAAATATTTATATTAGTACCTTTTTTGTTAGCAATGAGACGGAACCAAAGTGGATATCCACTGTTTAGGGAATAGCTAGCAAACTGTGGCATGTGAATAAAATGAAATATTACTGTGCTGTAAGAAATAAACATGATGAATAGGGAGAAGAATGGAAAGACTTATTTGTACTAATATAAAGTTAAGTAAGCAGAGCCAGGCAAACAATATACATAATTGCAACAATGCTGATGGGCGAGAAAACCAAAACTACCATTATGAATAATCAAGCTAAATGTTGCAAAAGATAAAGCTTGGTCTCAAAGAAGAGATATAAAAATACATCTTTAAGCTATTCCCTTGCAGGCATGGGAGTCTACCTGTATGGAACATAAAATATAATGTTAATATTAGATTTTTTTCCAATATGCTCAGTTTTGTTGATCATCGTTTTCATATAGTATGGCTTAAACTCTGTGGGCAAGAGTGTATTCCTTATCATTTTACCAAAGAAAAGGGAAAGGATGCCATTATTAGACATAATTGCTAACATTTACATAGCAATTTATGACTTGCGTAGAGCTTTACAAATATTATCTCAGCCTATCCTCAAAACAACCTTGGGAGGCAGGAGATATTATTATCTTCACTTTACAGATGAGGAAACTCGGGCAAACAGAGGTTAAATGACTTACCCAGGGTCACAGAGCCAGTAAGTGTCTGAATTCACATTTGAACTCAGCTCTTCCTGACTCTAGATCCAGCTTAGCTGCCTCATTCCTAATCTATTGGCAAGCATTATTTAAGTACCTATTATATGCAATTAAAATCAGTTTTAAAAGATAATCATTTTCATTAATGAACATTTATGAAGCCGCTACCATGTGTAGTATTAGATAATGGGTATACAAAGAGGCATCCCCAATGCCACTGTCTTACGGGAGTTTACAATCTAGTTTCAGTGACTTGGTAAACATAATATGCAAAAAAAGCACATAATAACACAAAGAATAATATTCTAAGTGTCAGAGGGATTTATGCAGTTCCGTACAGGCAGTTAATAGCAATAAAAAAAATAGCTACTTAAGGAATTCAGGGGAGGCAGCAATCAACTAAGGCAGAAGGAGAAATCTGTTCTGGTAGCAAGGAATACAGGAATTTTGTTGGAGCAGAGGGTTCATAAAGAGGAGTAGTGGGAAACAAACTGAAGGATTTTGATCAAAAGGAATGACAAAACAATGTTTTGGGATAATAAAGCTGGCACTTATAAGAAAGACTGAATCAAGGAGGAACAGAGATAAGGAGACCAGTTAGGAGATTACTTGAATGGTCCAACTGTGAAGCAGGGAAGCCCTGGATTATGGTCTTGCTAGTGAAAATGAAAAGGACAGGGACAAATTTAAAAGATATCGCCAAGAATCAATAGTATTCAGCAACCGACTGAATGCAGTGAAGAGTAAAGAGATGAATGGAGAATGGCAGCATTATTGACATAAACAAAGACATTTCTAAGGGATCTAGTCTGGGGAAAAACATTAAAGTTCCCTTTCAGAGGTTTCTAAGGTCTGAAGTTCAGGACATTCAGGTGGAGCTGAACAGCAAGTATAGAAAGACTTAGGATTAAAGCACAAAACATGTCAATTTCAGTTTTAACAAATCACAATCCATGGCAACTTTATTAAGGAGTAAGAAAAAGACTATGTATAATATTAATATTGTTCCATGAGAATACTATGTACTCCTGGATGATCACTCTGTGTATCAGTCAGAAAAAAAAAAGTGGCATAGGTCACAAAAAGGATGAGTAAGAAGATATAGATCAGATCTGTCAAATTCTCCTGGAATTGGCCCATAAAGATCTAGCATATTCATGACAAGTAAATGCACACTTTATTACGACCTTGTTAAATGTATATACACTTAGAAAAACACTATCAGAAGCTCATAGTTTCACATATGATCCTCTTTTCTTTGTATATTAAAAGGCCTATTTGTCTGGTACTCAGCTAGATGCCACAGAAATTGTCCTTTGTGTTCATATAACATGTGAAATGTTTTGTATTTCCATAAAATAAGTATTACCAAGCTAGATATATCTTAGATTAAACCAGACCACAGAGCTATATTTCAAAAGAACCTTAAATTATTACTTTTCTGGATTGTTTTTAGAATGTTAAGTGAATCAATTACATAATTAACAAATAATTATAAGTTATCAAAATAAAACTTACCAAATTCTTGCTGTCTTGCTTATGAATAGTCACCACTCTATTCTCATTTGAACCTTCTTGATTTGCTTGCTTAATGCTGACATCAATAATATCAGGAAAGTCACAGTACATCTGTAAATCCTGCAGTTAATATTGGTATTTTAAAAATTAAGTGAACTTTATCGAATTAGTTCAAAAACAAAACTAAGGCAATTACATTCTAAACTTTCATTTTTTATTACACAGAAGATGTTAAATGAAATAATCTCAACATCAACTGAAATATTTTCTCTATCCTTAGCAATCTCAAAATTACAATGGACTGTCTGGTTTAAGGAGAAAAATGTTTTTGACTTTATAGTGCCAGAAATATAACATTCTGAATGCAAGCCACCATTATAGGTAGAACCAACAGATATCATTAGTTAGAAATTTAATTTCCAAAGCATTAAGATAAGAAATTAAAGTATTATCTCTTTTCTAACACCCTATAATCCTCTAACAACAAACAGCAGCCAAAATATGAACTAAGGATTTATAAGGAAGACTAATTTATTGCTCCTAGCTGTTAAACAAGTAACTCTTTACTATAAAACTAATTAAAAATAAAAACTGTCTGGTTTCATTTACTCTTTTTCTCTCTTCTATTTTGTTTAACTCTTGTCCCTTCCGGCATCAATAAGGAAAGATGAAAGAAAGAGAGACAAAGAAAGCAACTAGTTTATGTCTTTTGGATTTAAGGTTTTAATCAATCCTAATATAATTAGATTTTTTTCTCAAAGTAATCATAACAAAGTTATTATAACAAATATGTACTTTGAAATATACAACTAATTAAAAACCATTCAGTAACAATGAAAAAACACAAAAACAAAAACCAGACCCTGCTGTTGTAGGTTTACTACAGCAAAACTTCCATTGGTCTCAATGGGAGTTTACCAGGGTGAGAAATGCAGAAGCCTAAAATATCAGAATTACTTTTTTTCCCATTGTCATTTGATATAAAATAATAAAGAAAGAGAACATATCATTAAGGATTACCTGTTCTGTCAGGGTTTCACTGTCTTTATGTTTCCCTCGTGACCATTGAATTCCACCGTTTCCAGTTATTATAATGGTTGCAAAAATCTCCTCACCTGAAGGACCTCTGCTAGGTTCTTTTACTTCAAATTGCTCTGAGTAGAAGGCAGACTGAAGAGTTTCCAGATTTATAAGATATTTAAGTTTCAAGTTTCTGGCAGTAGCTTTGCATTGGCTGAACTGCTGAATAAATCTGCGGAATCTGTACCTTATTCGCTTTCGTGTCAAAATATGATAATCTTGGATCTTTGCTCGAACACATTTTGGTAAGAAGGTCTTGTAGCTAGTGACACAAGAACACAAAAAAATTTAATTAGGATTTGTAAGTCTAAATTGAAATAAAGCCATATATCAAACCATATAACAAGATAAACTCCAAATGGTAGATTTAGACATAAAAGGAAACATCATAAAGAAACTGGAGGGTCAAGAAGTACCTTTCAGATTTATGGATAGGGAAAGACTTCACTCACTCATGACCAAACAAAGAACAGAGAGGATAAGAGAAGATAAAACTGTCAAATTTGATTACATAAAACTTAAAAGTTCTTGCCAAAACAAATAAAGTGTAGCTATGATTAGAAAATAAAAATAAACTGAGCAATTATTTTTACACTAAGTTTTTCTGATAAAGGATTGGTTTCCAAGATATATAAAGATCTGTTTCAAATTTATAAGAATTAGAGTTATTCCTCAGTAGATAAATGGTCAAACGAAAGGACAGAAAAACATGCAGTTTTCAAAGGAAGAAATCCAAGCTACTAACAATCATATAAAAAAGGTATTCCAAATTGCTAATAATTGGAAAAATGCAAATTAAGGTAACTGTGAAGTTCCACCTTATACCTGTCAGATTGTAAACAATGGCTAAAAGGAAAATGACAATTGTTGGAAGGGTTTCAGGAAAACATGCACACTAATATTCTGTTGGTGGACATGTTTATTAGTCCACCTGGGGTGGAGAGGAAAACTGTAAGCCAAGCACCGTACTTTAGAAAGGAGGGAGACTGCCCTGAGTATTAGATACCAAGATTGATAGAGACCTAGACTGGATGAAAAATAAGGTTGTAATAGATATAATTTAAAATAAGGAGGGCTCTCCAAACCAGAAGCAAGAGTTCCTTTAATATGATAAAATTAAAGTCCAGGAGAAGAGTGGAGAGATTTCTTTTTTCCAAACCCAAACATTCATTTGTCTGTCTTATGTTCTTAGTGTGTTATTTGTACAAACCTACTTCTGCCACTTGCTACTTATGTGACTAGTTATTTAACCTTCCTGGACCTCAATTTTCTCATTTGTAAAATGAGAGGCTTGGAGTAGACGGCCTCTCAGTTCCTTATAGGTCAAAATCTATGATCATGGGTCTAATTATCTTTATACAATTTCACCCCTATAACTCTTTAATCACCTAAGAAATATTTGTAATTAACATATCTTATAACAGAATTATAGAACAAAAAAGTAATACTTCTGGAAAAAACTCAAAGAGCAAATCCAGCCTATAACATTTAGCTATGTCAAAACAGAGATGAAGACGCCTTCACTTGGGTTTTTATTTCACTCTCTCTCCTTTTCTTGTTTCTCATGTTGAACACAAAATTTACATAATATTGCTTCCAATTTGAACCTTAACTTAAACTAAACTCAAAACAAAACAAAAAAAATAAACAAAACTCTCATGTATGCTGAAAAAAGGTATGTTTAATTATCCAAGATGGAATAATTGAATGAGAAGTTTTGCTTGCTCAGTGGGTTAGTCCCAAAAAGGTATTTTTAAACTTGGGGATACGACTTTAAAAGCTGCTTTTATAGTAGAGAAATTATGATTATAAAGATAGCCCACACCTCTGCCATGTTTGGGAGAAGAGTGAGGATTGCCTTAAAAGAATTAGCATTTTAAATAATGAAGGAAAGGGGAAAAAAGTCTGTTAAGTCCTGTGGCTTACTACTGCTTTCCTACACAACAATTGCTCTAAGCAGTCTGGAAAATGACATCCATCAAAATTTGTCTCCAATTCGCTTTAAAAAAAAAAAAAGAACCCAGGAAAACAATGGTGCCTAGTCACATTACCCATATTTATCTATCCCCAGTCAAGTGGAATTTTCTAAAAATATTCTTGGTTTTAATACATATAAAATTACCTAATTCCTTAACTACTTCAAGCACATTAATTATTTTTAAATTTCTATTTCTCAGAATTTCTTCAACTCTCATTTCTAAAAACATGATGTTTTCCCTTTTTATACTAGGTGCATTAATTTTATCTATGCAGAAGCTTTTCAGTTCCAAGTTAATCAAAGTTATCTATTTTATGTTTTGTAATTGCCTCTATTGCTTGTTTAATTAAGAATACACCTCATATCCATAGCTATGAGAGGTACATAATCTGTTTCTCACATAATTTTTATATCATCTTTAATATTCAAGTCACATATCTACGTAGAATGGATTGTGAAATATGGTATATGGTGTTTATCTAAGCCTAACTTCTGCCAGACTGCTTTCCAGTTTTTCCAGAAGTTTTTAATCAAATAAGGAGTTTTTTCCTAGGTTATTTATGTTTTCCACTTTATCAAACATTAGGCTATTAAGTTCCACTGTTTCTGATTCTCCCTTGTTGGGTCTGTTCCATAGATCTCTCTTAATTTTTTTTAACCAATACCAGGTGGTTTTGATGACTGCTGCTTTATCACATAATCTGAGGTCTGGAAATGCTATTCCTGCTTTGTCTCTACTTCTTTTCATTATTTCCCTTCATATTGAAGATTTTTAGTTTTTCCAAATGAATTCTGTCACTGTTCTATCAAGTTCTATAAAATATCCCCTAGAAAAATTTGATTGGTATAGCATTAAAAGTATAATTAATTCTGATATTATTGTCATTATTGTTATATTGGCATGAACTAGTCATGAGCACTAAACATTTACATTATTTAAGTTGTTCTTTATTGCTTTAAGAAGCACTTTGTAATTAAATCTGTAAAAGTCTTTAGTATGCTTTGGTAGGTCAATCCTCAGATATTTTACACATTTTGTAATTATTTGGAATGGGATTTCTTTCTATTATTTCTTATACTTTGATATTACATAGAAATGTTATTGATTTTTGAGGATATATTTTGTAGCTTATAACTTTGCTAAAGCTATTAATTGTCTCAATTAGTATCATTGTTGATTCCTTAGGATTTTCCAAGTAAACCATTGTACCATCTGTAAACAGGGATAGTTTTACCTCCTCTTTACCTATTATTATGCTTTTAATTTCCTTCTCTCTCTTTTTTTAACTTAGTACTTTACTTTTCCCTAGTTACATGTAAAAACATTTTTTAACACTCCTTTTTAAAACTTTAACTTCCAAATTCTCTCCCTTTCTCCATCCTCACCCCTCTCCCCTCCTGAGAAGGCAAACAATTTGACATAGGTTATACATGCATAGTCATGTAAAACATTTCCATAATAGTTATGTTGTGAAAGAAAACAGGCAAGGAAAAAAACCTCAAAAAAAAAAGTATGCTTCAATCAGTATTTAAATACCATCAGTTCTTTCTCTGGGGAAGGATAGCATTTTTCATTATAAGTCCTTCAGAGTTGTTTTGGATCATTGTATTGCTGAGAACAGCTAAGTCATTCACAGCTGATCATCTTACAGTATTGCTGTTACTTTGTACACAGTACATTTCACTTTGCATCAGCTCGTGCAAGTCTTTCTAGGTTTTTATGAGCATCCTGCTCATCATTTCTTATAGTACAATAGTATTCCATCATAATCACATACCACTACTTATTCAGCCATTCCTCAATTGATGTGCATCCCCTCAATTTCCAATTCTTTACCTCCAGAAAAGATCTGCTATAAATATTTTTGCACATATAGGTCTTTTTCCTTTTTGTTTTTTATCTCTTTTGGGATACAGACCTAGTAGTAGTATTACTATGTCAAAGTGCATGGTTTTATAGCCCTTTGGGCATAGTTCCAAATTGCTCTATAGAATGGTTTAATTGATTCACAACTCTGACAACAGGATATTAATGTCTCATTTTTCCCACATCCCCTCCAATATTTGTCGTTTACCTTTTCTTTCCTACTATCTAATCTAATACGTATGAGGTAGTACCTCAGAATTGTTTCAACTTGCATTTCTCCAATCAACAGTGAGTTAGAATATTTTTTCATATGGCTTTAGACAGCTTTAATTACTTCATCTGAAAACTGATTATATCTTTTGATCATTTATCAATTAAGGAATGGTTCTTATTTTTATAAATTTGACTCAGTTCTCTAAATAGTTGAGAAATGAGGCTTTTATCAGAGAAATTTGCTTCAAAATTTTTTCACAGTTACTATTGCTAACTGTATTTCCCTATATCCTATTCCCCAGTTTATTCTATTCTCTCTACCCTGTCTCTCCTCAAAAGTGTTTTGCTTCTGACTACCCCCTCCCCCAATATGCCCTCCCTTCTATCACTCCCTCCCCCCTTTTTCTTATCCCTTTCCTCTCCTACTTTTCTGTAGGGTAAGAAAGATGTTTACATCCAATTGAGTGTATATGTTATTCCATCTTTGAACCAATTACGATGAAAAAAAGGTTCACTCACTCTTCCTCACCTCCCCTTCACTGTAAAAGCTTTTTCTTGCCTCTTTAATGGGAGATAATTAATCCCATTCTACCCCTCCCTTTCTCTTTCTTCCCAGTACATTCCTCTCTCACCCCTTAATTTTATTTTTTAGATATCATCCCTTCATATTCAACTCACACCTGTGCCTTCTGTCTATACATACTCCTAACTACTCTAATAATGAGAAAAGTCTTATGAGTTACAAATATCATCTTCCCATGTAGGAATGTAAAAAGTTTAACATTATTAAGTCCCTCATGATTTTGCTTTCCTATTTACCTTTTTATGCTTCTCTTCAGTCTTGTATTTGAAACTCAAATTTTTTCATCAAGAATGCTTGAAAGTCCTCTATCTCACTGAATGTCCATTTTTCCTTTGAAGGATTATACTAAGGTTTGCTGGGCAGGTAATTCTTGGTTGTAACTCTAATTCCTTTGCCTTTTGGAATATCATAATCTAAGACTTCTGATTTGTTAATGTAGAAACTGCTAAATCTTGTGTTATCCTGACTGTGGCTCCACAATACATGAATTGTTTCTTTCTGGCTACTTGCAATATTTTCTCCTTGACCTGGGAACTCTGGAATTTGGCTATAATATTCCTGGCAGTTTTCATTTTGGGATGTTTTTCAGGAAGTAATTGGTGGATTCTTCCAATTCCTATT